AAATTTGGAGGCTACTTAAAAAGCTAAACATTGATCTACCATTTGATCCAGCAATACCACTCTTGGGGATATACCCAAAAGACTGTGACACAGGTTACTCCAGAGGCACCTGCACACCCATGTTTATTGCGGCACTATTCACAATAGCCAAGTTATAGAAACAGCCAAGATGCCCCACCACCAACGAATGGATTAAGAAAATGTGGTATCTATACACAATGGAATTTTATGCAGCCATGAAGAAGAACGAAATGTTATCATTCGCTGGTAAATGGATGGAATTGGAGAACATCATTCTGAGTGAGGTTAGCCTGGCCCAAAAGACCAAAAATCATATGTTCTCCCTCAAATGTGGACATTAGATCAAGGGCAAACACAACAATGGGATTGGACTTTGAGCACATGATAAAAGCGAGAACACACAAGGGAGATATGAGGATAGGTAAGACACCTAAAAAACTAGATAGCATTTGTTGCCCTCAATGCAGAGAAACTAAAGCAGATACCTTAAAAGCAACTGAGGCCAATAGGAAAAGGGGACCAGGAACTAGAGAAAAGGTTAGATCAAGAAGAATTAACCTAGAAGGTAACACCCACGCACAGGAAATCAATGTGAGTCAACTCCCTGTATAGCTATCCTTATCTCAACCAGCAAAACCCCTTGGTCCTTCCATTTATTGCTTATACTCTCTCTACAACAAAATTAGAGATAAGGGCAAAATAGTTTCTGCCGGGTATCGAGGGGGTGGGGGAGGGGGAGAAATGACCCAAACACTGTATGCACATATGAATAAAAAATAAATATGTACATAAATAAATAAAAGAAAAAGAAAGCAAACATACACAGAAGCATTAAAACTGTGATTAACCATAAACTTTATGCTTGGCTACACAAAAAATCCAGGAGACTCCCCAAATCAGTAGAATTAATAAAACAGCTTAGAAAGGTTTCTAGATATAAGACCAGCTTATGAGAATCAAATTTCATTTAGATATGGGGAAAAAACCCTAAGCAGACTGGGGTGTGGCTCAAGTGGTAGAGTGCTTGCATGGCAAGAATGAGGCTCTTAGTTCAATTCCCAGTAGATTGAGAGAGAGAAAGAGAGAGAGAGAGAGAGAGAGAGAGAGAGAATGAGAATGGAGAATGTACCTTTAAAGAAGAGCAAAGCAGACAAAGCAAAATTCTAATGAAAGTTTTACCAGACATTTTTGATAAAATTTTAAAAATTTATTGAAGGACCTTAAAGAAGACTTAAGTGGAGAGAGAAATCATGTTAATAGTTCAAAAGACAGTTTCATAAAACTTCCCCAAAATTGACCCAGAGACTGAGTCACTGTAACTCTGTCACAAATCTCAAAGGCTGTTTGGGTGTTCTTTTAAAGACGTTGACAAACTGAAGTGGAAAAGAAAAGGCTAAAACACTACACTCTTGAAAATCAACAAGGTGGGTAACTTCGTATCAAGACTCATTAGAAAGCTATAGGGAAAAAAGACAGTGGAACGTTAGTATAGGGAAAGAGAAGGAGACCAGAGGAACAGAAAGGAGAGCCACAAATAGACCGACACTTACATAAATCCCTGTACATAACTCAGCTCTCATTACAGATTAATGAGAAAGAACAGGCCTTCCAGTGATGATATGGCTATCATGTAGATCACTGGTTATCTATAGAGGGAAATATGTGTGTGTGTGTATATGTATACATGTATGTCTACTGGACATATTTATCTCTACCTCACAGTTCACACACACACACTCATCCCAGATGGATTATAGACTTAAGTATGAACAGCAAAACTTCAGAACTTTTATAAGAAAACATAGATAAATATCTCCTTTTTAAGGTTTTATAAGAAAAAGAGAGCAATGAAATGCTAACTCAAGCTACTCAAAATACACATAAAAGGAATTTCCAAGGATAGAGCTTAAAAATGACTTGAGTCTAGAAATTAAAGAAACTAACTTTGTATCAGAAGAATTTTTATCAATCTTTTCTTTTTTTTTTTTATGTTGCTGGGGTGAACTCAGGGCCTCCTCACACTTGCTAGTCAGGTGCTCTACCACTTGAGCACTTCACCAGCCCTTCAGCAGAATTTTTAAAGAGCTGGTGTTTAGATGAAAACAATCATAAGATACATGTAATGCTATTAAGCCTAATAAAGAAAAAAACAGAATCACAAACATGTAAAACCAGGAATAAGGATGAAAACTGAACTGAAGCATTGTCTTATTGTAGAAACTGGAACAAATTCATCCCATGTAATAGGCAATAATAGGGACATCTAAGCTACCAAATTGATGGAAGAAATAAAAAGTGATCAAAGAACCCCTCCCAAGTGGCTCAGTGGTGTAGCTCAGTGGAACAGCACTTGCTTAGTATCCTGAGGACATGGGTTCAATCCCCAGCACTGAAAAAAACAAAAAGGGCTGAGCCCAGTTTTACAAATGAATTTAGAGCAGTTTCATCTTATACAGTTACACTTGATACACAGTCTTGAAAATCTATAATTCAAAATGCACAAAATACAACACCATTTTCAAGAAAAGACAATGAGTAACCTATTAATTAACTAAACAATAAACAGAACTCACTCAGCCACATTTTAAGTTACGCTGTTGTTAATCATTTTTAAATTTAGGTTAATTTATATTATTACATGTCTCGTACATAAAGCAGAACTTTAAAAATCCTTATATCATGTCATTTTCAACCTGTATAAGTCAAATTCATAAAGAGTGGCTCTAGTGAGTTTTTAAATTTTTTTATCAGTGTATATTAACTGTACAAAGGGGTTTATTGTGAAATTTCTATACATGATCAAATTCACCCCCTTTGCTATCTAGTGTACTGTTGAATTTTTTTGGAGGGACTGGGGTTTGAACTCAGGGCTTTGCACTTGCAAAGCAGGTGCTCTACTACTTGAGCCACAGTTCCATTCCATTTTGCTCAGGTTATTTTGGAGCTAGGGTCTTGAAAACTATTTGCCCGAGCTGGCCTCCAACCACAAACCTCCCAGTCTCAGCCTCCCAAATAGCTAGGACTACAGGTGTGAGCACCAGTGCCCAGGAGTTGAACATTTAAGAAACATGCCACAGAGACTATTCAAGAGCATAGAATGTAGCAATACATCTGAAAAATATTTTATGGAACTAGTATAGTTCTGGTATCAAAGCCTAATAAAGACAACCTAAAAGTAATGTCAATAGAGATGCAAAAATTCTAAATAAGTAATAATAAATCTAGCTCAATAATATCCTATAGAAGTTCTCCATACAAACATCCCCTTCACCAGGATTAACAAAGATTATCCATTGCCTGTCAAAAATCTTACCAAGGTCCTGAGCCAGCAGGCCTGACGCTATATTAACTGCCCTCAGCACTTCCAATAGGAGAGATCCATGTGGACTGGCAGTCAGTTGTGTTTGTTTGCAAGCCTGTGTATGTCAGTTGTACTAATAGGGTAACTAGATAAATATTACAAAAAAAAATAAAAAGTTTGAATTTAATGCTCTTGGCTTTTTAAAAATTAAGTACAAAGTGAGATCACATAAAGGGTGGGTGGGGAACTTAAACTTTAAAAGAACTATGCAGTCGGATTTTTTTGCGAGTATCTTTAAGTTCCTATCAGACTTTAATGAACCTAAACCTAAAAATCATTGCTAGTGCATCTCGGATGTGGTTTATAAAGAAAGGATGACATGAGACTCAATTCACTGCATTCAAATTCAAAGAGGGCTCAGCTCATGTCAAATGGTTGGTAAATGAAGATACACAGATGCAGTAAAAACTAAAATGTCTATGTTGTATAAGTATGACTTTCAACCAAGCTTTTCAATTAGACAACCAACTACCAATATTTTATGAATGACCATATGACATGACTCCATATTTTTTAAATACTGTTAAAAGTTAAGAAAGCTGGGTATGGCAGCACACACCTGAAAATCCCAGCACTTGGAAGACTAAGGCAGGAGGATCAAGAATTCAAAGCCAGCCTGAGCTACAGAGGGAGACCTTGTCCCAAAAATAAAAATAAGAATAAGAAGGCATTCACATTATACTTTAAGTTTTAAATTGCAGATTATAAAAAGCACAATATGAATTTAATTTTGTTCTTAAAAATATGCACATATACATAAAAGATACCTAAAAATGTAGTCACAAGAAAATCTAAACAGTTCTTATCTTTAACTGGTAGGAATACAGGTGGCTTTAACTCTCTACCTTACACTTTTTATGTTTTCTGTTATCTTCTACAAAAGATAAATCAGGAAAAAAGTAAAAATAGATATTGCCTTCTCCTAGAAGTCTATAAGACTCAATGAAGCAATGTCTCTCCCTCAGCATCATGAATGGAATTCAATCCACTGCCTTTTGGCAGGCCTTAAGTCTTCCCCAGAAGGTCAAGCTCCCCTTGGCCCTGAGCATGGGCCTCATGCATACATGCTGAAGGCGTGACACCACAGTCATCATCTTGGAGGAATCTATACCCAAAAGATGACACCCAAGAAATCAGAGGAGGTAGGCAGAAAGGAACTGTGCTGGGAAATGCAGGTGCTAATGCTGGACCAAACCAACCTCTCAGGACCTGCAGGAAAAAGCCAGAGCCCCTGATCACACACACCCTTCATGGGATGAACAGAGAAAGTCAGTCTGCTGTCATCCACAGAGAAGTCTTCAATTCTAGTCCCAGAAGTCACAGTCTAAACTAGAGACTTTCCTGCTTCCACTGGCCATGTAGTCCTACCCAACCCCCAGTCCTCACAGGGGTAAACGTGAGAAGTGTGGATCAAATCCCAGGATGCACCAGGAGCTAGCACTGGGGCATCAGTTTCTAAGACTCCACTCCAGAGCTTTCTCCCCACCCATCCATCACTGCACAGGGCAGACAGGTAAGTGTTTTATGCTAGGGTTAAGGAAATCCCTCCTCTTTTCTCCCTCCTCTGTTCCCACACCAGCCTGCCAAGGGAGCCCACAAATAGGTAAGCAATACATACATGAGGACTGGATGGAGAAGACGCCATGTTAGTGGGGACCATGCTCGACAGACCATCTGCAAGCTACAAATTAAACATGCTGGTTAGCCACAAGATTAAAGGATCCACTTTAGGGAAGATGGGACAGCCCCTCCATGGGCATCTTCGCACCCCCCCCATGTAAGGAGCACATGCTCCCGAGTTGGACAAGCCTGCTTCATGGCCCCACCAGCTGTGTAACCTCAGGCAAGCACCCTGACCTCTCCAAACCTAACATTCCCCTCTGAGGAATGAGCACAAAGCCCGGCTCACACGGCAGCAGTGAGTATGAATGAGACAAAGGCCGTGCCAGCCCAGCTCTAGGTGAGGCATGGAAGGAAGAGGCTCTACCAGTACTGGTCTCTACCAATGCTGGTCTCTTGCCACTTTCTCACTGCCCTTGGCTCCATCCACTCAGCTGCTCTCCTGTCTTTCCCAAATGTGCCTCTTACCCAACATCTTCCCTTCATGAGCTCCTTCACTGGCTAAGCCATCCATCCCTGGTGAGCAGTGTTCCTATAGTCGTCCAACCCTCCCACAAATGACTACAAATGACTTCCTGCATAGATCCTTCAGAACTGTAGTAAGTTAGTATTTTACAGGGTACTCATCCCCTGGGTTGCTGAGCCAAGCAGGGCCTTGGGGATCAGGACCAGAGGTGGGAGACCTATTCAGAAGCCACTGTAATGGCCAGGAGGAGGTGATGGAACTCTAACAGGATGGGCAGCAGCCTAACAGTGGATAAGACAAGGGGAAGAATTCTAGCCAGAAGGGATGGCAAGGGCAGAGGTGCTGAGGAGGAAAGAAGCATAGCACCTCTGAAAAAGCAAAACACCCAGGAAGGTGGGCCCTGCAGATGAGACAAAAGGAGGTAAGACTGGAAAGGTGAGGGGCCGGTGGAAACACAGAACTGCCAGGCTGGCCTCTCTTTTCCTTGGAGCCTGGATCAGAGGGCTCTGGGAAGGGTCTATAGGAAGCCAAGTCCAGGCTGGACTCCCTTCCTCAGCAGGAGGAGCCCAGGAGACAGGCTCCTCTCCAGATAGTGGAGAAGGCAGCCAAGCTGGGACAAGAAGAGTGTTTGGGACTCACAGACCTCTCCCTGTTTTGTGCCTCATCAAAGGAGCACCAAAGACAGAAGCCTGAGCAGGAGGACAGATTAACTAGTGGGTATCCAGCCCATGTTGCTGGCCATATAAGGCTGGACACAGTAAGACCCCTGGAACAGACTGGATGAACTCCACATGCAACCCCCAGCTGGTCAGAGAGGGGCCCTGCCCCTCCTGTTCTCATCCTGAACCCCTAGAACCCTTATTGTTATTTTTAATACAGTTCTTTTTTAGAAAGGTGAGAGGGAAACCAGAAGTTCAGCAGAGCAAAAAGGAGAAAAAATAAAGTTAAACATAGTACTCCAAAGATCTGGTCCAGCTTCAAAAATTATACGTTCCCCTTTGGGATGTGGGCATAATTTGCTCCTCCAATTCTGGAAGTGCTTTTCCATCTCATGGTGTCCCAGAGACTATAACTGGAACAGCAAGCTCAAAATTAACCTTAGCCTGGGGACTGGGGGCCTGAGGACCTGGGAGCCAGCCAGCCCCTAACACCTCAGCCCATAGGCGGTAAGGCAATGGTGACCAGGTCTGTGACACCTACTGATGGCTCTTCCACACCACCCTGCCAGGTATCTCCTCACTCACCTCTATGCCTAACAGATACACACACACACACACACACACACACACACACACACAGCCACTTCTACCATAAACACACAAACACCTCCCACTTCCATCACACCCTACCACATATGCATATACACACACAGCCACCTCTACCAGAGAAACACAAACACATCCAACCTTTACCACACACACACCACCTCTAACACACACACACACACACACGTACACACAACCCCTAGACTCTGTGCAATCTGAAGCCTACACAGAGGACAGCCACATGGACCAAGAACAAATGGAGTTAAAAAGTAGGAGCATCTCTCATCCCAGCCCTCAGGCCTTTGGGAACAATTCAGAGAGGCCAGGTGTCCACCAGATCTCCTCCATCCATGCCAGAGAAGGCCAACCTGACAGATCTGCCTATACATACACTTTGAGTCATCTCCACAATTGATCACTCTTGACATAAACCAAGATGCTTCTAGAAATCTGAGTACTGCTCAGTGTGCCAGCCACGGCCACAGCATTAAGTCTAAGGTGACATTTTCCACCTGGGTGGTGGGCTCCTCCCAGGACTTGGGCAGATGATGGTGAGAGGACTTCCCAGATAAAGGGAAGGTATAACTGACAAAAAAGACAGAAGGCATAATCTAGCAAGTGCAGATTATGAGGCTGGGTCCACAGCCAGGACTTGATGGACAACCAGAGGGGTGGCATCAGTTTGCGAGAATGAAACACAGATTGAGCAAACAGAAGCCAGGCAAAATCCAAATTCTGCCACACTTCCTGTCCCTCCAGTCCCCGGAGATCAGGGCGATCACTATATCTACAATGGAGGAAGAGCAGGAAGAAAGAGCCCAGCCAAAATTATCTTGGCAAACTATTGGAACTGGAGTCCTCTGCCTCCTGGGTCAGCCTTGGTCCTCCAAAGGGCCAAGGGCAATGGATGAGAGAGAGAGGAGGTGAAAGATGGAGGAGTGAAAAATCTCCTATCAGCCAAATTAGATTAATAGATGTCAGAGAAAGACACAATACAAAATCAGACAGAGTAGGGGCTTCTCCAGAGAACCAGGGTCCCAAAGGAGATTAGGATCAGTCTCCCTGCTGAACTAGGGGCTTCCATCAGACAGTCTCAACCATCAGACAGTCTCCTCTATCAGAGCAGTCTGGTCTCGCTTCCTCCTTCTCCTACCCACCTCTTAGTCCCAATTCCCACTGCCCAACCCTCTGCAGGGCCAGCAAGTCTAGCAAGAGTGACCATATGCTCCCATGAAGAGCATAGGCCTGGCTCTGGCTCAGACCCCTGCCCCAGTTCCCTTGTGTCAACACCGGGACGATGTCCAGCCTGGGCTTCCTCGCTGTCTGCCTCTGGCTGCGCCTGTAGCCAGCAGGACCCAAAATAATCCCTCCCCATCTAAGCATGTAGACACTTTAAGGGCAGCACACAGAGAACGGAAATCCTGCTGGGCAGGCCCTACAGTCTCAGACAGACCCACTCAGGAGGCAGAACACAGGAGCCAAGATCAGGCAGCCCAAGGTTTGAGGCTAATTCAGCTATAAACGCTCAACCAGCCCAGAAGACACAGCATGGAGTTTAGCTAAAATTCATGTAGAGTCATCTGAAATTTCCATATGCTTTCCAGACTGGACCAGGTTATCCAACCAGCCATCTATTCATCTGTTTGTCCATCCATCCATCCAGACAGACCTTCATTGAACACCTCTAAGCCAGGTCCTATGAGAGGCTTTAAGGATATAAAGAGGAAAAAGCCCCAGTGGCTATCCTGAGCTTTGTCCAGAGAAAATGTTGAGACTCAGAGACATTCAGGACCTAAGGCAGGTGCCAGGGCCTGGATCCTATAGGAGAAGGGGAGGGACCAGGGAAATCTTGAAAGAGGTGACCATATCCAGATAGAGTCTTAAAGAATGAGGAGTTGAGCAACAGAGCAGAGCAAAGGTTCCTCAGCAGAAAGGATGGCAGGGAAGAGCCCTGGAAGCCATGGAGACTGAGAGATAAGAGCTCAAGGCTTCTGACTCCTTCTTAGCATCAGCAAAACTACAGAGTAAGACCTCCTATCTCAGTAGCAGTGAGGCTCCAGGACAGCACCAGAGAGGCTCCTCCAGCAATGACACAAAGATGGGAGCATGAGAAGGCAGCAGAAAACCACCCCAAATGCCAGAGGGGAGCCTCACAAATGAGTTCCAAAGTCCTGAGGCCAACCGAGCACCCAGATTTGCTCTCTTGCTCTCAAGGCTAACATTTGATTGATGTCCTGAAGAAAACAGACCCCTCCTGAAGTGCCACCCATCCCAGGTAAATCAACAGGCTATGGCCTGAGAACACAGTACTACCTTCATAGTCTGGGGGGCTCTGACTCCAGGAAAGTCAGGAAGTACTGAGAGCCCTAGGGTGTCAAAGATATGACAAGTGGAGCCCAAAGAGGACATTGACAGCCTGAACAGACAGTAAGTTCAAGGCTGGTGCTCATGGTGGGGCCTTTCTCCATCTCTCCTGCAGGAAGGACTGTATGGGATCCAGAGACCCTCCATGGCCCAAGGTGGAGAAAAAGGGCTGTCTCTGGGTAAAAGATGCCAGAGGCCTCCTGCCATGTCCTTTGTGGTTAAATCTAAGTCACCAGCAGGCTCTAGGTTGCTGAGTAAGTATCAAAAGGATGGCTCACACCTCCCCATGAGCTGGAGGCCCTCAGCAGAATGTCCTTCTCCTGCCTCCTTCCTTCCCTGTTTCTCTAGGTGGGGGAATTGGAACAAGATGCACTAGTGGCCTGGACATACCTCCCCTTTCTAGACTGCCTCCACAGTGCCACCAAGCAAAGCTCACAGAATTCCCTGCCTAAGAAGGAGCCTGCCTAGAGGAAAGCAGTGGGGGCTGGAGCACCCAGAGACTCCAGCACTCCTTATAGTCTCCTTTCACTTTAATGACTTAGTGAGGAATCTGCAGGGAAAGCCCTCAACACAGCCCTAAGGTAGAGGGTCCATTTTTCTCACAGGCTCCTAGGAAAAAGGATTGGCCTTGCCCTGAAGAACACACACTCTGTCCTTCAACCAGACTGACAGTCCTTATCTGGGTCCATCCATCATGCAGTACCCAGCCACTAATGGCTGTATGGTAGTGAGGATGGGGGAAGAGTAGAATGCAATGAGGAGTGGAGAGAGAAGAGGAAATTAAGACCAGCTCCTGGGAAGCCAGCATCTCTCCCAGGGGACCCAACACCCATCTTACCTGAATGGGGATGAGGGGCTCCTTGTCATCAATGTCGATGAGCACATCTTCCCCGGGGCTGAGTAAGCTCATGTCATCTGTAGGGAAAGAAACATCCATGCCTGTAAGGGACTGGTTCAACAAGGGCACTGTGACGATACCCCTCCGTGTCTCCACCCTTCTCACAGATCTTTCCTGCCACCCAGTTCTTCCCACTCCTGTGTCTATCTCTCCCCACATTCCCTGTCTCCCAGTTCTCTCTTCCTCTCCTCACATTTCTCACCTCCCCCCATTGCCTCCCTACATCTCCCCCTCAAATCTTCCCCCAGCTGTCCCCCATCTTGAGTCATTGTTCCTGATCTCCCACAGGTATGGGTCACCTGTTCCAGGTGTGCCCAGCCTGAGAAAGGAGAAGTCCCACCTCTGCTTTATCTGAATAAAAGTCGCTTCTTACTCCCTACCTGGACCACCCTGTGGGGATGAACTCTCAGCGGAGTAGGGGTCACACAGGAAGCTCTCCAGGGAGCGGATGGTGCATTGGCCCACCACAGGCCTGCGGCCAAACTGGCGGTTGTCAATGACTTTCACCACAATGGGGGGACAGTAGAGTTCCTCCCTGGGCAGCATCTGAGGTGGGGAAAGGAAGAATGCTCTGGGTTCTGGCCTGAGCCCATCTTTGGGAAGTCTCAAGGAAGGAGCAGGGAGGGCTCTTCAGAGCAGGCCCAAGAAGTGGAAAATGACTGTAAACCCAGAGACATCCCCAAGAGTTAGAAATCCAAAATGGCGGTTGGCTGAACCCAGAGTTGGCCAATGAAGCAGAAGCCACACACCTTTCTGCCAGCCTCCTGACTGCTGTATGCAGAGGCTGGCTTCCCCTGAAAGCTTTACCTTCCAAACACACCCAGCTAAGCCTGAAGTCTGAGCAATCTACTTTCCCTGAACCCTCGCTGGCTGGAGTGGGGAGAGGGAAGTTGGCCCAGGACTCGACATTTCTTGCAGACAGTCCCCCCCAAGTGGATACTCAGGAGTTGGCTTGCAGATCCAGATTCTTCTCCCCCCTCCCCAAAATCACTTTGAACACAACTTGAAATAATTTATATGCTCTCCTTCAGTGGCGGCTTTGGCTCAGCCAAGAGGAGGCTCCTGTTGACAGCCACTGGGCCTGGAATTTCTATAGCACTTTCATCTTGCAAACCATTTTCCTTTCCTCAGACTTGCCTCATTCTGGCCACTAGGCCCAGGCATCCCAGAGAGCTGGAGAGGACTGGGGACCAAGGGCTGAGGGGTGAGTTCCTCTGCAGGACCCAGACTAAACAAGACCAAGCAGGGACAGTTAGAGGAAGTGACTGAAGGCCAGAGCTTGGTGAGTCCTCTCCAGGGACCAAACCTATCCTGGAAGGAAAAACAACCTCAGAATGTCTCCCAGAGACTTCTAGTGATCCTGGGTTGAACTGAAAGGAGCAAGCGGCCCCACGTGTGATACTTATAGGACTAACCCCTTCAGTGAGGATAAAGGAGCATTTCCTCCCTGTTTTCCCTGGAAAGCAAAGCACCTGGAAGCCTGCAGGGAGCTGGGGCTCAGGTGTCAGGCTTCCTGGGGCTATGAGGACACTCTAGCCCTCAGGACTCCAGAAGGGAACAGTAGGGAGATGGTGCTCACCACTTCCATGAAGAGGGTGCAAACATCAAAGTTGGGGTTCTTCCGGAGGTTCCTGATGACACAGGACTGTACTGTCTGACCCCCACATTCCACCACAAGACTGGGGGATGAGATGCTAGCCAATTGGTAGCTCTTCATGTTCCGCAGCCCCCATGCCAGAATCTGGGGACACAAAATGAGCAGAATGGTTGGGGCAGGAAAGGAAAGCATCAGGCTGCCCCCAAAGCCCGGCCCCCACCCCAGGGCCAGGCTCACCTCAATGGCTGTGCGTTGGAGAGCTGGCTTGATGTTCTGGGGAACCATATAGATGTTGACCTCCCTCTGTGGTGGTGGGTAGGGCAGGTCTGCATCCTCAGACTGCAGAGAGTAGAACAGAGACAAACGTGAGAGGAAGACTAACCAAAGAGGTAAGAAAGAAGAGACAGATGGGACAGAAAGCAATGACATGCATTGAGAGATACAGGCAGAGAGACACAGACCCGGATATGGGCAAATAAGGTGGGGGTGCAAAGTCAGTTTTTGCCAGGCACCTACCTCTTTAGGATCACAATTCATGAATCTTTACCCAAAGCCAAAGTCACCCCTCCTCCGGTAGTGCATGCTCTGGAGCACCAGTGTGCCTCTCGGGGTCTCCCTCTCTCCAGTACACACAATACACACGCACACACACGCACAAATGCACTCACACATATGCATACGTGCACACAGAAAAAATGCAGTCCCGCGCACACACTGCCCACTCCATCCTGGCACATCCACTCGAGCCCCTCTCAGTGCTGGTTCTCTGCTCCCCAACACAGGCCCAAATGGGTTACCACCCCCTCCCCCACCCCCACATGCAGACACCTCCAGCCCAACCCCCACCTCTCACACCTGTCCCCTGTGCAAACACAACATGTGCACTAATACCAGGGAGAACAGAGAGATGGCCACCTGAGGCAAGGACATACGTGCCCATCATCTCCAGAGCACCAAAGAATGCTCCTGAAGAGGCTCTCCCACCAACAACTCTGGCCTACCAAGGGTTTCCCAGAAATTATTGGGCAGTTATTTCCAGTTATCATGAAGAATACACAGGAACAGGGCAGGGCAAGGGAGGAAGGTACTACCTCAGAATAGTCAGCTCCAATAGCAATATATAGAGATAAAGGCTCTGGTATGAAGCCTAGCTCTGCCAACCATAAGGTTCAATAAGTTATTTCCCCGTATTAAAGCTCACTGTTTGCATCTATGAAGTAGCAAAATTTATCAACCTCTAATGGCTAGCATGAGGGCTGAAGAAGTTAATGCCTATACATTTAGAAGAATATCACCTTTGTGACAATTAGAGCAAAAGTTCTTTTCCTGAGACTCTTTACTTCCATGTCAGAAAATCATATTTTATGAGTTTATGAAGACAAGACACTTTACTGCCACCTACTGGAAATTTGTGCAATAAATAAAAATATATGGTGTCTGCTAGAAATAGCACCCCCTTAGACACAGTGTCTTTGTGCAGTGCCCAACCTGCACCTTCATACAGAGGCCTTGACATGAAGTTAACTATTATAATTAAAGGGGCTGTGCTGGACATTTTATAAAGGTGGCCTCCTATTAGCTCATTTAATAACCAACAGAATCATTGGATTCTTTCTACAAGTGACTTGCTTTGGGTTCCTTCTGAAAGAATGGTACATCCTTCTACAGATGTTCTGACATAGATGATGGGGCTGTTGGAGCACAGAGGAATACCAGCTTCCTCCTCCTCCGTGAAACTTCAAGACATCTCTCCTGTCCACTGACCTCCCGAAGACACCGTGTTTCCCTGACCCATAGCAGGGAGCAGCCAGGTTCTAGAATTAGATGAACTGAACTCCAGGGCAGCTCTGCTGCTTCCTAGCTATGTGACCTTGGGCAGATTATCCAACTCAGTGACTCAGCGTGCTCATAAACACCAGGGCTAATAAGACTTATGAAGTTGTTCTGAGAATTCAATGAGAGAATGAACATAAAGAGTACCCGGAACACAGACGGTGATTAATAAGTGGTTGTGACTAATTATGCCTACTACTGCTGTCAGTACTATTGTTTTTACCATTGGTATTGCCCTTCCCACGGTGACCTGGGGATAGCTGGGCTACCAGAAGCATCGTTCAAACAATGATGGCTTTATTACTATCCCTAGTAATCAGGATACAACATAGGAACTGGTCAGTTTCCTCCAGGCCCACCTGCAGGTGACATGACACAGGAAGCACCTACATTTTTGACTGGCAGAGGAGGGTGATGGACAGGACTACCATGCCCACACCTCCACCTCCAGAACGTGCTGTGCACACCACAGTCCCCAGAAAAGATGACCCAGAGAAAGGCCTGCAAACCACCAAAGTGGTCTGGCTACTAAGAGGGGCTCTAATTTGACATCTATCCTGGCACTCCAAAGCTACCAGCTGCAGGTGGCTGTGCAGCAGAAGGTGGCTTCTTTAAAGGAAGGGCATGCTGCAAGGCCTGCTCGCAGTCTCTCATGGCTGATGCTCAGCTCACTGTGGGACCAAGGCCAAAAGCTCAAGACCAAAAGGAGCAAAAGGAAGGGACCAGGGAGTGAACATGCTTCCCTGAGTGGGGAGCCAGAAAGTCCGATCTTTCTCAAATGGCTGCAACATTCTTTGAAAATCACCATGGAAAACTCATTACTACATTTCCCAGAACATGTTTATCCCTTATGTCCATGTTTCATCTTTCCTTTGGGGCTCCCTGGAGCTCTGTGGTGATGATGTCCTCTCTATGCTGAGGAGCAAGTTTCCCACCACCAGGATCCTGCTCACTGATGAGGAGCAGGGTAAGTACTAGTACCGTTTGGAGAAGGCCCTGAAGGAAGAAGGCAGGAGTGCACAGCTGTGGAGTGCCAGGCCCGGCCGAAGCAGGAGGAAGAGAAGCAGAGACAGAGGTTAGAGGAGTGTCTTCCTCAGCACAAGGTAACTGCGCTTATCCTGTGCCATCTCTGTCCACCTCACTGTCCCCAGGGCTCCCAGGATGTTCTTGCCCTATGCCATTTGCTGCCAACTACTTCAAATCCCTGTCTCTGTACCTCCCACCTTCCCCACCCCCATCCCAACCCTGCCATCCAGCCTGCAGGCTGCCACCACAATTCTCTGTCACTCAAGTGCTGTGCATACCACACTATCTGTCCCGGTGCAATGGGCCTGTTGTACCACTTGTACTCCTACATGCTCTCCAAGTTCCTGAACTCCACCTCACTCAGTCCTCACAGCTCTTCACACTGCCTCCTGATCTTTCCTTCCCAGCCCACAGCTCTCCACTCCGTCTACACCCTCTTCTCTGGGTCACCTCTCCTCTCTCACTGTCTCCATTCCCTGCCTCTCCTCCCTTGCTACCTACTACACTCAGCTTCTGCCCTCTGCACCCCTTCTCTGGAAACATCTCTCTCCAAAATCAACAATCACCTCCCAGTAGCTCAGCCCAAAGGATACTTGTGGATTCTCACTCTCTTGTCCCTCAGCAGCATCTGCCCAACCAACCTCAATCTCCCTCCTAAAACCATCTCTTTGGTTCCATACTGCTGGCCACTCCTACTCTCCACGGATGCCAGTCCATCCATGCATCCTACTAGTCTCTCACACTGAACTTGTCTAAAACTACATTCTTTATTAACCACCCCCAAAAAAAAAACCCCGCTCCCTTCAAATGTCATCTCACAAACTGGCCCCAACATCCACCTAGACAACCAAGCCAAAAAAAAAAAAAAAGCATGCTACAGTCCCTCATCACTGTGTCTGACTGATCGTCAAGCATTGACAATTCTGTCCCTAAATCTCTCTTGAATGCTCATCTACCTGCTTTCTTTCCTTGGTCAACCTAGCACCTCTCTTGCCTGGAGTCACTAGCATCACCCCCCATGTGATCTCCTTGCATTTCATTTTGCACACTCCCTCTCCCAACTCCCAACACATGCTGTGCTCTGCAGGCAGGGAGACTTTCAAAGACTTGTCATTCCCCGCTTAATACCCTGCAAGTCTCCTCACTCACTTAGGACAAATGCAAACCCTTCAACAAGGCCTCCAAGACCCCTCATCTCTGAGCTCCTGCTGACTTCTCTGATCATATCTCTCACCGCATAAATTTCCCCTCCAGGATCTCTCCAGATATGCTCAACCCCTACCCTTCTGAACTCTAGAAGGTGGCAGGAGGCACCATATTCTCTTTAGCTTTAAGGCTTGGAGCTCACTGTCCCTCCTTCTGGAATACACTTCTGCCCCATTTCACTGACTACCTCCTGCTTGGACTTCAGATGACCACTTAAATCTTCCCTGAGCTCAAGTTAAGCACCCCATTGCTCCCTCAGCCTTTGTCCTTAGTCTCACTGAAAGACACATCTATCACCCCATGCCATCTCTATGTGTTCATTTGACTGTCCTCCTGGTTAAACCAGCAATTCTGTACCCTGGGATCATAACCAAATCCCCATCTAATAAACAAATGATTAAGAATGGATAACCAAAGGAAGGGAGAGGGGAGGGGGAAAGAGAGAGCAGCAGGATAGAAGGGTGGATGAAATGGTGCATAAAGAAACAATTCTTTCCTTCCTAATGCTCCTGTCTGCTCCAACCAGTCCTTGGGTCTTCACAGCACTACTGGCTGCACCCTGTTTGAGTGATCTTCCTCAGCTGCCTTTATAAATCTGCATAGTTTTCTGGGCCTAGTTCAAGCTCTCCATCCAACAGGAAATCTCCCCAAATACCCCAGAAACTTCTCATAATCCCACTCTCTGACCTAAGTAACCCTGTGCCCACTCCAACCTCCAGTTCCCATGGTCCTATCTGGTCTTCAATCATCTCACACATAGGAAGGAGTCCAGGGGCCTCAGCCAGCCAGCCAGCTGCCAGCTCTCCCAGCTTCTTTCTGGTCCCACCCACCTGCGGGTTCAGACACCCTCCCTCCAGGACAGTAGTCCTCAGCGAGATTGATGTGAGCCTTATCAGAACTGGGTGAGCACATCAGTGTTGCCAGGCAGAGGTTGGGGGCAGGCTGCAAGTGGATCTGGAACATCTAATTCCATTTTCTGGGTGACTGGGACTCTTGAGGATCACAGACCTCAGAGGCAGCCATACAATAGAAGCCTAATTAGAGGATGCCACATTTGAATAACCCCTTCCTCACCCACCTTGAATGCAGACAGACCTGGAGTGTCCACACTGATGGGGTCTACAAGTGGGTAGGGTGTTTATCAAGCTGGGTCAGACCACGGGCCCCAATGACAATCAGAGCAGAAGCTACCCTTCGGTCCCATGGCTGAGGCCCTGAGCCATGAGAGGGGTTCCCCCAAAGTCCTCAGTGACAGACGCTCCTTCCCAGGGCAGGGAAGGTGTTGACAAGCCTCTCCAGCCACTTAGATCACCCCGTCACCAGTAGCGCCCAGAACCCCACTCATGTGCTCGAAGACAGTTAGTGGATCCTCTGGATGGTTCTTGCGGGAGCTCCAGGCAGGGGGCAACCAGTGGGCTGGGAGGGCTCCATTGTCTGCCTGCCCCACCCAGCTTGTTAGGAACAACATGTTGCTCTAATTACACTACCCAGGAAAAACAGTGTTTCAAATTAAGGCCTTGGAGGGGGGGGGGAGAAGTAGGAGGATGGGGGACCAGTGGGCTTATTTTCCTGATTACAAAACACCAAATTTTTCCTTCTAGTGGAGGTAGGGGTGAAGGAAAGTACCTTAGGTACAACCTGAAATAAAAGCCATACAACCTGTAACCTGGATTTGGAAGAATGGATGGGGTGACAGCTGGCGGACCCTCAAAGCATGTGATCCCTACTACCAGGGTATCTCCTGCCACAAAGCAGAAGGGAAGAGACAGAACCACACCCCCAAGATGGTCAAGCACCTCAAACCCCTGAGGGGGTTCTTCCTCAACACATGTTCTGTGTCCTAGGGGCCCATTAGTAAGGAACCTACTAGCACCTCTCCTGCCGTGTGTGTATGTGTGCGTGTGCATGTGTTCTCGTAAGTGTACACACATGCACATGGTCACACGTGCATGCACACACTCTCCAGTTCTCAGGAAATCTAAAATTGCAGTTTCTTTGAACTCATTCCCCTTGGCAGCATGGACCGCCTTTGTTCTCCAGACAAAAAGGAAAAGAAATGAGACGAGGGCTCAGAAGAGGCGGGAGAAGGAGGGAGACAGGCCAGCGAACACACAGAGGAAGGGTGAAACACGAAGGGAGGGTGGGAAGAGGCTCAGAAAGAGAGGGAAAGACAAAGGCAAAAAGTCAGGCCAGAGAACAGGAAAGAGTTCTCTGAGAGAGGACCCAGGACCCCTGGACATCGACAGAGCCTCCAATACACTTCCCCAAGTCCCAGAAAGGAAACTTCAAGATGGGCAGAGGACTTGGGAGAGGGGAAATCTTTTCGTCCACTGAACTGATCCCCGGTGGTGGTGTACCCTCAGTCCAAGGCACTGCAGCCTAAGCCCCCACCCCCACACTTTCTGCCAATCCCTGCTTCCAAAGATAACTTAGTGTCCCCTCTTCCAGGAAGCCAGCTGCACTGTCCTGCTCCAGGAGCCCTCAGCATGGGCAGACAGCATTGCATCTCATTCATGAGCACAGTAGCTTCCACACTGGCATGTGTGATTCTCCACACCTAGCTGTGCTAGTGAAGAGACACTCCCATGGGAGAGGCTACCCTTTAACCAGCCTTCAGATCACTGGCCCCATTTGTTCTCCCTGGACCTTCTCCAGTCCAGGGCTCCATGACTGCAACTGTTTCTAAAGCTTCTTACCTGGTCTCTCTCCCAACCCTTTACTTCCCAGCACCTCAGCCCTGCAGACTTCCCAAGGCTCCCAATCACCAGTGGGAAGGCTGGAACACTCTACACCAGGATCAGACTGGGAGCCTGGGAGGGGCTGAATGGAAGACAGAAGGCAGGAGCTAGGCCACAGCAAAAAAAGACAGAACAACCCTACTGAAGTGTCAGGCTTCCTGCAGAACTGACCTGCCTCCACCCAGCCTGTAGGGAGTCTAAAGCCAAATAGGACCCAGAGACTTGGCATGAGGCTCAGCCTTCCAGTGAGGAGAAAGTGGGCTAAACTGCTAGTCTGGGACCCCCCTGAGGATGAAGGCAGTCACTGATAAGAACTGCCCCTTGCCACAATTTCTGCAGCCTGAGCCACAGCCGGTTTCATCCCTTGCAGAACAAAGCCCACTGTTCCTTATCTCCCGCCACCTTCCTTTGCCCATCCCTAGCCTTTGTTTTCTCCCAAATGCTACTTAAGGCCAGACCTGCCAAGAGAAGCTACTGCACCATTTTTTCTCAGCCAGCCAGGCTGCTTATTAAACTTTTGGACATGAGATACCTTTCGTGAGCCTCCTTTGTGTGCAGTGTGAGGCGTTTTCCTAACAGTCACAATGTCATCTTGTGGGATCATTTCCTAGACCAGATGAACTACATTCATCCTACTGGGCCTTGGACCTTTGAACTTGGTGGCTCAGACCCCCAGGGCTGGCTCTCCCAGGCCCTGCTGACCACATGAAGCCTCAGCCTGTGGCCTGGCTAGTCTTGCAGCAGGACACTTGGCCCTCCTTCTGAGTCTAGTCCAAAACTGAAATTTTGATTTGCTTCCTGACAACCAGACCACAGCCAGATCCCTGCTCTCAGAATCTGAACCTTCACTGTTATATATGACAAATCCAGTTATTAAGGATTTTTAACTTCTTTTTTAATAACTCATCCCTAGGCTGGGTCTTCTTTAGAGCAGGCTGTGGGTTTTGGCCACAGAGTGTTCTCAATCAAGAGCGAGGGCTCCGTGCTGCTTCCCTGGACAGGCTCTGCCTCCCTTTCCAAATCGGCAGTCTTTCGCAACTACAGCCAGAAGCAGGAGGCTGCCTGTCAGGCGCAATTATGGCCAGCTCACTTGGCGAACCCCTTCTTGGTCTGGGAGTGAAAGGAAGTGAGGTAAGGGGTGCGGGGCCTGCAGATCCCACATCCTGATCCTGCACTTCAAGTCCAAATTGCACTGAAAATGTCAAATGGTGTCCGCTCCCAGCCTGGGGATTCCCTGATGGCAGGAAGTAGCTGTCAGTTACCCTGTGCCCAGGGCTCTCCTTCCTGTCTCTCTACCCAGGCCTCTAGCCTCAGCTCACTTGTGACCATCTCCTCGCAGGCACACAAGAGGCATAAGAGAACATGTTTCTCACCCCCAGGGATGTGGCCTGCTTCATGTAGATGCAAATTCTAAACTTCTCCAGTCCCTAGGATCTCCCAGTCCTCACCATCTGGAGCCCTACTGTGCCTCAGCCCTTGGGTCAAACGTATTTCCCACCTTCTTCCTACCGTGCTGTGCCAATGTCGGGCTGATGCTGCCTCCACCAGAAAGCCTTCCTTCACTATTCTGGCCCCTGATGAACATTTTATTCTTGAAAATATACCACCTGGTACTCATTATTATTATCCAAGTAGTCTGGGTAAATCCAACCTCCCAAGAGGACAGCAAGCCTCTGGAGCTAGAATCACCCCACACCAGAGGCAGCCCTGGATCCACATGGGGCATAGGGAATAAAATCCAAACAGGTCTCCATGTGACCTGTGCCTGCTGGGTGCCAGGAACCTGGGAGGATCTCAGGTATATGCTGGGAGAGTGGCCTATGCCTCCATCTGTGTCTGCCACCCCCAGCCACAGGCTCAGCTCACCTCGTCTAGGATCCTTGATGTGTCCTGCACCTGGACCACATCCACAGGACGTTCCACATCCAGGAGATAGTGGGGGAGCAAGGGAGAGGTAAAAGTTCTTCATTAGTAACCAGGAGAACTAGACTGAGCCAGACATCAGCACACCAGACATCACCACTAAGAAGACCTGACAGAAAATCCCTTCCCATCAAGGGTTAATAATGACATCTCCCCACTCATGCCCTTTGGTGGTCCTTGAGAAAGAAAGTGCAATGGACCTGGAGCCATTGCACTTGTAGGGCTTGTGGAAAAAGCTAAAGCCCAGTTCTGGAAGTGGCAAAAGGAAGGAGGGCAACAAACATATTGTAGGAAGGGCCTGAGACACTGTACAATAGCCCCAGGAAGAAGTCAGCCCTCGGCCCTGGAGCCACTAACCCTGCCAGAGCATGTGGAATTGGGGAGCCAAGTAAAGCAACCTAGAGTCTCCAGCACTGAAAGAATTGAGAGGAGCTTAGAAGGCCAATAAGAAAGATGAGTAGGAGTCAAATGAGAAGCAGGAGATGGGGGGAGTGGGTGGCAAAGGAGGGCTTCTGTCACAAGAATTGTCTAGACCTTGTGTGGACTGCCTCATGAAGACAATGAGGCATCCAAACAGCTACAGGTAGTCCTGGCCTGGACTGGGGTAAGGAATCAGGCAAGCCTGGTACCAGGCAAAGGTCTATGTTTCCTACCATGTCACTCAGAAAAGGAAAGAGAGCAACAAGAAGGGAATGAAGTGCACTTCAGTGATACAGGAAAGGTAACAGGATCCCATGAGAAGAATGAGTTGGGCCATTCAGTGTAATCAAAGCTCTGAAATTCTGGTGAGGCACAGAGCTCTGGGCTGCACCTCTGACCTGGAGTCAGGAGGTTAGAAGTGAGACTTAAGAATCAGCATTTCTAACAATACCCCAGGTGATGCTGAGGCTGCTGGTCAGGCCACACTTTCTCAATTATGGGGCTAAGCCCTGGCCGTCAGCCCCCTTTACACATAAAAGCCCATAGGCAGTGTTGGAAGACAATGAGGCCTGGGCCATACCTACATAGGTGGGGCCTGAGCACTGGTGAGTTTTAAAGCCACCAGGTGCTAACACACAGCCTAGCCCAGAGCCACTGGCTGGTCTGCCATGAGGCCTTTGCGATCTGGAGTCCGTGATTCTCAGAACTCTCAAGGGAGAAGAGCTTGAGCTATACAGGGAGACCCTGGATAACATGGGGCTCTAGCCCATTCCCACATACCCTGGAGCCCCACTGAGCCCTCCTCTGCTTGAAGGCACTGCAGGGGTGGCGTGAGGTTGGGAATAGAGGCAAAGCAGATGGGGTCAGGACCTACTATCTGCCCTTCATAGCCTGAAAAGGACTGTAAACACAGTTGAGGGGAGGGAGAGAGAATACAATCGGTTTAAAAAAGAAAAGATAGGATCAAGACTTACCTCAAAACCAGGAATATGGTGGATGGCCGGCTAGAGTGAAGAAAAACAGGGCTTTGATCATATGTTTGTCACCCAGGACCCCAGCCTCCTCATTTCTGCCCTGGCCAGGCAAACACATGACAGCCATGGAATATGTCAGTAATCAGACCGGCTGGGGGGTTGCAGATTGTTCTTTGCGGCGGGGGCGGGGGGGGGGGTTGAGGAGGAGACTGAGTTGATCTTGGGTTGTGTCCTCCACACATCTCACCCACAGCAGCCCTGTTCCTATGGCTTACATACTGGGGGCTCACATCACACCAAGAGCAAGTTTGAAAGCAGAGCTCTAACCCCAGGGATGTACCTGGGGTTTTACAGCAGGTATGTACCTGCCAGGGCTGCATGGCTAGGCCATGGCAGAATCAGCACTAGATCCAGGATTCTGCCCATATCTGTCCCTGGAGTTCTCCCATCCCTGCAATTGAGGCTCCCTCCTCAGACCATGGACGCACTCCTCCCAGGGACCACATCAGGAAGCATAAATCCAGTGGCCAGAGGACTCAGACATTCCACAATCCAACATTCTACCACAATGATCAATCATGTCCTAATTTGGGGTTCAGAAAACATGGGCAAAGTGCATCTGGGCAGGAGACCTGACTTCAGAGGAAGCCATCCAGTTCAGACAGAGAAGAGTGTATCATCTGCCCTGCCTCACTGTGCCCCACCAGCCCTTGCTGAATGTCCCTGATGGGCCTCCAGGGTCTATACATGGACCAGGCTCACCTTCTCTCTCTGGATGAGCTCAAAGGACGCCAACAGCTCGCCTGCCGGCTGGCTGCTCCTCATCAATGGAAACCAGGCCAGCCGAGGCATCCGTTCCAGGCTTGGCTGACAGATGCAACGGCCCATAAACTCATCGGCACCCTAGACCAGACATAGAGAAAGAAGAATCAGGGTCTTGGAGGCCTCCGAGAGATCACCAGGCATGCATCCTGGTCTAGAAAGGACTTGGAAATCGGGGCAGCTCCCTAGTGCAGAATGGCAAGCCCTACCCTCCTGAGAGAACAAGATACCAATAGCCTCTGGCCACTGTACTAGATTTGAATCCCACAATCTGGATGTCCCTCTATACATCCAACTCGTGTCCTTCCTGCTTTAATTTAATCCAGCTCTGAGTCAACTAGAGACCAGAGGAATGGCCTCCAACATTTCTCTAACACCCTCAACCAGATAGGTGTTTGACATTCCCAGGAACTTTTTTATCTCCTGACTGTTCATTTCACCCTTAAACTCCCCACCTTCCAAATGGGGAAGCAAGCTGTGATCATGCTCATTGAACTGAGTCTGGATAAAATGATGTTTTCACCTAATATATTTCCTTTGCCCAGGGACCTTCCCTGGCTCCCTGCTGCCCAGAGTTCAGTCAACACCATCCTCTGGCACTGAAGGCCCTCGCCCTGCAGCCTGTGCACGTATTCTTCCTTGCCTCACTGCCTGTCCACACATCTTCCACTCCAGCCTGCCAGCCTCAGCTGGCTCTCACTCCTCTGCCCTTCCTCCAGTGGTGCTGATCTGTCTCCTTCTCAGCTGCTTTCCATCACTCACAGTCCTGACCAAGCTCAGCAGGAGCAGTAGGCAGACCTGAGTCTTAGCCAGATTGTGCCATGGCCCTCGCACTCCCTCAGGCCTTGCCCAGTGCAGGGAGACTCAGAACAGGAGCTGGGAAGCAGCCCTGATTGCAGTCACAGCTCTGCAGGAGACTTCAACATTCCCAAGAACCATCCCAGAACAGCCACCAGCTCTTATGCCCATATCAGCAGGGACAGTCCAGCAGCAGTCACTCAGAGTAGACAGCAGCTCCAGCACTGAGAAGTGTCCTGGGCTCCTCTGGGCCTAGGGTTGTCCCTCTAGCTGCTAAGTCCTGGAAATGGGTAGGACAGGCCAAGAGCCTGAGCAAACAGGAAAGCAGGAGCTCAAGGCAATATCTACTAGCATGTATAGGCTTGACTACAATGGCTACAACCCTAGCTCACCCCAGAGCCCTGGAGCCCATCATGCACTCAGAAAAAAATCACAGTTCTTCTCCCCTTGGGTCCCTTCGGGCCATTGGCCTGCAGGGGAGTGGTGGGCTCATTTTAGGAAGAGGAGATTGGATGATTTGGGAAGAGGGTCTATATTGGCCAGCCAGGCATGTGACAAAGAGGCCCCAGCCTGGGTTGGGGCACAGTGAAATGAGAGGGGAGGAGACACAATTTGAAAGATGTTTCCAGAAAGAATTGCCATGACTAGGTTTGGGTGGTCAGGCCCCCACAGAGCTCTGGCACAGCCCAGGCCACCCTGTATTAGTACTCATACCTGTTCCTGCTCAGGTCCTGCCTCACCCACCTCCCACCTCTTCTTCCCTTTACCCCCAAAGTGCCAGGCCCTGCACTCTTCTCCTTATGGTACCAACTAGACTCCCTCCAGTTGCTAATTCTCCCCATAGCTCCAAGTTTTCCTCTCAAGGAGCAGTTGGGTACCATGGCCCAAGCCTATATTGCCCACTGCCAGCTGCCCCCCCACCACTATCTGATGGGTTTCCTAAACAGCATTCCCTTCCCCCCAGGCCCTGGACACCACACCTTCCTAACATGCAGTAGTGGCAATTCTTACTGGAAAAATCTTCCAAACCCTGTCACCTCCTCCAATGCCAATGACACCCCAGTTGTCTCTTCTAATATTCATCCTCTTCTTAAAACGATGCTCTGCCCCATGGCCTCCTGCTCCCCTGGCCTCATCCTCCTTTCTCCTTCCCAGCCTGCCTACCCCTCTGCTCACAACTTCCCACTAACCCCCACACTGTGCTGGAATGCCCTTCTGTGTCCCCTGACACCCCATCCCACATTTCCTCCAGGGCATTTGTCTTGCTCACTGCCTTCCCTGACATTCCAGCCTGGTGCAATCACTCCTCCTGGGACCCTTCTAGAGCCATACTGTCTAATACTGCAACACTAGCCATCCACAGCTATTTAAATTCATGTTTTAATTCCTTAAACTCAGGGACTTCTGAAACTCAGTTTCTCAGTTTGTGCAAACCACACTTCAAGTGCTCCACAGCCAGCAACTCCCCTCCTGGACATCACAGCTATATATAGTTATGTCCATCATCACAGAGAGTTCTGTTGGACAGGGCTTTCAAGAGGTCATACCTGTGCCACAGAGCTATGTGGCACTTGGGGACACACTGTCTCACCTAGAGGATTCTGCTCTCTGTGGATGAGTCTCAGTTTCCACCTAAACAGGAAATTCCAAGGGAAGGACTACTCACCTCAGTAAAGCAAGTGCTTAATAAGTATTTGTGGAATCAGTGCAGCTCCTGATGGGGAGAAGGGCTAGCCCAGGATCACATAAGCAAGGTAGAGAAAACCCAGGCTCCTGACCCACAGCCAAACACCCTTTCTAGATCTGTCCCCTCTCCTGTGTTTGACTAGCAATAACTACCAGAGCACATATGCTAGCAATCCATTTTTAATTTCTCTAAAATAGTTTCAATTACTCTACAGCCTGAGAGGTCAGGGGAGAGGCCACCAGTCACAGCTGGTGGGGAGCACCAGCTGGGTGAGGAGTCAAGAGTCTATGGAGACCCAGCATTCACAGCATGGCTCTCCCTGGGGCCCTGTAGCATGTGGGCAGCAAAGGGCAAGAGAGCGAGGCAGGCACACTCACGTAGGTATCATGGTCGTAGATCTCTACCACGATGCTGGGTGGCTGTTCAGCAATGCTGACTGGCTCACCAAAAATCTCAATCTCATAGAAAATCAGGGTCTGGTCCCAGGTGGGATTCAGGGTGTTCTTCACCACCACTGTCTTCTGGCTCTGGTGCAAGAAGGAGACGATCGCGTAGGGATCTGTAGGGGTTAGGCAGGGAAGAAGATGGACAGGACACAGCTGGGACCATGAGAGTCGCCAGCTCAGGAGTCACACAGCCCACAAAGCTGGAGCAGGCCTGTGGCTGCCATTCTGGAGTAAAAATATTCAGAACGGAACCCATTTCACCAGGGGTATCTCCTGGCCCCTCCATGAGGCCAGCTGGCAGGTCACCATTGGGGAAATACAGACTGGTCTCAGCTGTAGGCTTTAGAGCCACAAAACTTCCCCTTTCCTGATGCTTTCTGGGCTGACCAGAAGGGGCAAAGTTCTGCTGGAAGAAGTAAGTGCCTATGTGGTTCATTCTTTCATTCATTCATCCAACAAGCATTTATTGAGTGTCTTTTGCATGCCAGGCTAGGGGCTAAGTGTTGGGAGCTGAGAACACAACTTCAGCAAAACGTAAAATATCCACACAAACAAATATAAAATTACTATTAGAATCTGAGCCTTGAAGAATAGATATAAGGTGCAGGGAAGTGAGTTATCAGGGGATCTGGCTTCCTTGGGGAAGGAGAGCACAGCCAAGACATAGGTCTCTGGGAGCTCTGAGATGCCATCAGAATGACATGACCAGGTTTTTGTTTTGGCAAGCTCACCCAAGCTGATGCATGGAGAGCAGACTGGAGGGGCAGAAGTAGGTGCAGGAAGACCAGTTATGAGGCTACTGCAATGGTCCAGGCAGAGGTGGTACTGGCTTAGCTGGATGTGGACTCAAGAGCTGTGAAGCAGTGGCTGGTGTGAGATCTTCACTGTTCCCAACTCCTTTATAGCCTGCCATCCCAGCCACACCAGCCCAGGACCAAGCCACAAGTCATTCTCTCTGCCTAGTCCCAAAAGCAAATGGGAGTCACTGGAGCAGATTCTGCAACAGTGGCTTTCAATTGTGAGAGAACAGCAGAATCATCTAGAAGGCACACAAAGACTGCTAGACCCCACCTCCAACACTCAGATGCACCAGGTTTGAGTGGGGCCTTTGCATTTCCACCAAGCTCCAACGTGATGTTGATGCTGCCTTCAGGGCCACACTTTGAAACCAGTGCAAGAGAAGGTCCTATGGGACCATGTGCAGGTGATTTGGGAGGAAAATAGAGGGCTTAGAGGAGGGGGCTCTTCTATCTTTTTCCAACAGGACATCAGTTTGGGGGCAGGGTCCAGTTTGTTGTCATTTTGTAAGACTCTAAATATCAAATGCTGAGAGCACTTGGACAGGAAAGTCTGGTGATGCATGAGACTGGAAACTGAGTACTAGATGTTTGGGAGAACTGAACCAGTGCCTGACACAACTGATGCACTCAGACCCTACCTATTCTGCAGTAGACAGTTGCTCTGAGCCCACATCTTAAACCCAGCACTGCCACTAACACCCATGTGATGTCAAGAGGGCCTCCATGGCCTCTGAGGTTATGGCCTTGCCTCACTAGCCTCAGAAGGGTATGGGAATGTCCAAATACAACCCTGAAGCTGGGATGGAGAGACAGTACTTCCCCAAAAGGGGAAGCAGGACAGGTTTCCAGGCCAAAAGAAGACCAAAGGATAAGCCATGCCCACTGCACAGGAAGTGGCAGAAGAGGGGCTGACAGGAATGACCATAGAAGAAATGGAAGATGGGAAGACTCCAATTAAGAGTCAAAAGCAGGACTCTGATTAAGGGATGGTGCCAGAGGGTCCAAGATTCTGGCTATTGCTCCAAAATGCTAGTTTGTAAGGGTGAAGAACATCTACTTTAAGGGGCAAAAGTCATGGGCACCTGCTGACTGAACGACGCTGGATTGGCCAATGAGAGGTAGCCAACCAGCCTGAGCCCAGCCTGTCAACTCAAGCACAAAATCACAGTGGGGTCAATCATGGAGGGCTTCCTGCAGGAAATGGGTTTTAAACCTGATGCTGGGGGTAGAAGAGGGCAATGGGAGGCCCTTGGCAGAGGAAAGGGTCGGGAAGAGTCCACCATGTCTCACCACCCCTACATAGAGGGATGCTCCCTGGCAAGGGGCTCTCCCTTCTATGCACCAGCCCTGGCAGGGCTGGCCCCAAGCCCTTTCCCTCCGGCCCCTGGCAGGGCCCGGTGGCGTCTGTGCATTTAATGAAACTGTCTGGCTGTGATACCATCAGCTCCAAGCTCGGCAGAGAACCTCTCCCAGTTCCAGTAAGGGAAGGAGGGTGCGTTCCGATAAATAAAACCATATTAGAGAGCCAGCGAAAAAGCCCCTTTTGTTCCCACCCCCTGTGCTTCCCAACGCTTTATTTTTATAAGCGTGCGGGCCTCAGACCGACTGCGTTTACACAAAGATCACAATTGCACATTGTAGCGGCTGTGCACGCTGTATTGGTGTTGGCAGCACCCCCCACGCTGGCCCCTGAGTAGGCCGACTCCTTCCAGCAGCTCCATCAGCTCAGGCAATGAGCTCAGTGCTGGGGCGGGGGTTGCGGGGGAGACAGGGCAGGGCAGGGAGGGGTGGCTTTCAAACAAAACTCACCCAGACCCACACACACCACACCACCCGCCCATGGGAGGAAAAAACACAACAAAGGCATTGTAAAGAGCACGACTGGCGGCCTGGGGCCTCAGACACTGGGCTACTGTGTGCTGGGGCCTGGCCTCTCCCCCAACAGGGCCCAGCCCCTCCAAAAAGAAACAAGGTGGGGGCGGGGGGATGGTGCTGCTACAGCAGGGTGGTCAGATGTACTCATAGACACATCTCCGTGCAGGGGATCCCCTAGAGGGGAGAGAAAGCATCCCAAAGGGAGGTGAAGTAGAAGGGAAAAGGATGGATCTTCCATGTCCATCCTGGCCTAGGGAGTTCCCCAGGGCTTTCCAATGCAACAGCCCCTGAGCTGAGAGAGCATGTTTGAATGGGAGCTCTCTGAGGACCACAAGATGCCCTGGGGATGCTCCTGCCATGGGCACACAAGGATTCCACAAGACTCCCTCATTATAAGAGAGCCAGGGGCCCAGCACCAAGCCCCAGGCAGAGGATTCTTTGGCTGGATTTAGAACCTCACACTAGGGTGTCTGGGCTAAGCACCGCTGCTCAGGCCTTCTTCCACTCCAGGGAGGACTTCCGCATTCAGTGCACTAAGCTTTCCCTATGAGCCTCCCACCAACCAGCCCAGACCACCAGAGGGAGGTCTTTGCCCCCAGAAAGACTAAATCACTAGCCCATGATCGCAAGTGGCCACAACTAGATTCCTGACTCCTAGTCCAATGCTCCTCTCCCCAAACCACATTCATAGAAAAGAGAGGGCAGTGTAGGGTGCTAACAATCAATGCAATAAAAATTAAAACTATCCTACAGCAAGAGTTTTCCTATAAAATTAAGAAAAATTGTTTAAAATTATAAAACTCAGTGTTGGCAAATAGTTGATGAAATAAGTACTCTCCTTTATTGCTGGAAGCAATTCACCAATCCTTTAGAAAAGCAATTGGGCAATATGCCCTAAAAAACATAAAACTGTTAAACTCTTTTTTCCCATATTCCTGGGAAGCATCCAAATTAGCTGAAAGCTATACATACAAAGATGTTCACGCCAGTGTTATCTGTAATACAGCATTCACTCTATATATAACTATTGGTTAGCCAGGTTAGGTAGGTGCTGGACTAACATAGTGCTAGTAATGTGAAGATGAACGAGACACAATCCAAGCTCTTAGCATTGTAACTACTGACTGGAAATGGTAATTAAACAACCGGTATAATGCAAGGTGATGTGCAACGTAACAATGGAACACACAGGTGCGAGGGGTGAGTGATGCCCAATGCAGCCTGATGGCATCAAGTCGAGCTCCCCAAAGGAGGTCTCCTACTGCAAATCTCAAGAATGAGGAGGTAGCAAGAACAGACCAAGGAAGAGGGGGGTGTTCCAGGAACCTGGTATGGCACGTTATACCACAGATCATGGACACCTGCGAGACAGCTTGTCCCCTGCAGGTCTGCAGGTCTGCTGTGCCACTGTGCATTGTTAATCTGGAAGCCCTCTCTCACTCAGTAACTCTTTTCAAGTGTTACTTGAATGACTCTGATGCATTCTGGAAAACACTCCTTAAGCTTGTCACTTGGATTACCCCCGCCAGAGCCAATCCAAACAAAACGTCATGCCTAGAAGCAAGGACAGCATGACCAGCATCCAGATATCAGAAACCCCAAAGCAAGAATCCCCTAGAACAACCCAGGACAAAGTGCAAATCTGGGGGAAAATTAAAGCACTTGTTACCAAGAAGTGGCCCTGGCTATGGGACAGCCATGGTTCATTAGACAGCGCTGTGGCCTGACCTGACAGGAACATCTCCCAGGACCAGCTAACAGCACACAGCTTTGCATTGTCAATAGCCAGAAGTCAGCAAAGGGATCCGTCTGCTTTCTTGACAGACACCACCCTGTACATTGATAAATAATGTAGTATCTGGTCTGCTAGCCAAAGTGGTACCATTGGCTTTCTTAGCCAAGTAAGGCCTCCTGAGCCCACCAACCTGTGAGACCCTCAAAGAGGTATTTCTGGACCCCTCAAGCTAAGAGCCATCCCTGAAATATGGCCACATCATGACAGTGCTGCCCAAGAACACACCGTCTGAGGTGGCAGCACTATCGGTAGAGGAGCAGTAGCAGTTCTCAGCCAGGGACAGAGCAAAGCAGATTCACCCTTTGACTGAAGAGCAACCCACTCAGACTGTGCTCAAGGAGAGATGCTGCCACTTCCAGGGGCAGGGAGGGCAGAGCTAGGAACGGCATTGACAAAATGTGATTTCTAAGTCCTCTCAACGTCTCCACAACAGCCTCCTTCTCGCCCAAGTTCAATATTGTTCAACAAGTATTTTCTGGGCATCATCTGATATTCCCTCAATTTCTCAGTCAGAGAGAAGGAAACCCACCATATGGGAGTTCCCTGGGGGCACAGGAGCCCAGGAAGGGCCCAGATCTCCATAGTGGTGCTCAGTGGCGGGTGTCCCAAGGAGTACCCTCTCTGCCCCAGACACTGGCAGGCAGCTGAAAGGTGCTCCCAGCAGCAGACAGAGCTAGATCCTCCACCGGCCCCAGACATTCCGGATTCACACATGAGTTTCCTCAGAGAAATGCCAGCGGGTGGCCATGCACCGCTTCAGGCCGCCAGCCGCCCCAGGGTCAGTTCCAGGGGAGAAATTGCTTTGGTTTAGGGTTTGGGAGTGAAAATAAACACTCTGGGTTTTATAGGTTCCCCCGTGTTGGCTGCTGTTTTCCTTTCCAGCAGCTGCTCAATCGGGCCTTTCATTCAGAAGCCGGTGGCCTCTGAGGAAGCCCTGGGCAGTGCCCTCAAAGCTCTGGGGATGTTTATCTGGGAGGGGGGAGGAATGGAAAGTGTGACGTCTCTGCAAGCAAGTGCCAGGCTGACCCAGTCGCTGCAATCTCCAGCACTGGTTCTTCATGCTGGTCCCTTGGGTGAATTCCCACCCTGCAGGGTCCTTAGTCAGCCAAGCTCATACAGAACAAGGACCCTTCCACCTGGGCCTCACCTGGCCACCTGCCCTTCACAAACCCACTGCCTGCACTCTTATCCCTCACGCCCTTCCCGAAGGGAAAGAAATGAGGCAGTGAATTAGTCTATTTCTTTTTTTCTCAAGGTCAGTTCCAATGTCAGTATTCTGGACACATTTCCCAGGAAGATGTCACTACAGGTATCTACCTGCTCCCAGCCTGCCAATGCTGTGCAGTGGGTGTGGTCAGGACCCAGGCCCCAAAGTCCAGAAGAGAAGGTGCTCCACCCACGACGTGCCTGGTTGCATGGGGCCAAAAGACAGGTCACTCAGAATAAAGGAACTCAGAACCACAACTGTTAGGAAGGAGGAAACAGAGTGGTCCCCACGCAGGAACCAGTAGGCCATGAAGGAGGACAGGCACATGGCAGTAAGCTACACAGCCACTGTGACCAGAAGGCCACTCTGATAGAATTCAATCCTACTCAGCCAAAAAGTAGGCATGTGAAGGGTGACTGGCTTGGCTTCGATTCAAAACTGTCACTTGTCAGGTATTTTTAACTCAAGCAATTTAGTAAACCTACCTGAGTCTCCCTTTCTTCTCCATGTGAAACAGGGCAGTTGAATGCCTATTGCATAGGGTCACATGAAATACTGTCAGTAGCTGCCTGAGCACACGGTGACACTAGGTAAGTATCTGTTCTTTTGATGCCCAGTGCTTCAGGCTCAGAGGAGAGGCCCCTTTCCTAGGGAAGCTCATGCCCAAAGTCAGGAGGTTAGGGCAGACAGAGGGCAACTGAGCTCCACAGTGGGTAAGGCACTGAGAGAAGTGCCAGAGATGCCAGCCAAGCTCTGAGGAAGGAGCAACCAGCTTGGCTTAGAGGAAAGTCAGAGTTAGGTCTTGAAAGATGACCAGGTGTTTGCTGGCTGAGCCTGCTCTATGTTGTATAGAGAGCAGCTTTAAGGATGTGCCTCACCTTGACTTACTCAATTTTTTAAAGCAATAGTTTTAACCTAAGCTACTCCATTTTGAGTATAAGTGCCAAAACAAAATGGCTCCACATCTTGTTTATACATGTAAAAACCAACTATTTACCAACACACCATGAGGCACAAACTAATAATATGCTTGTGTCAGTAAACAATTACATCTACAAATACATCAAATCACCAGACACATAACCCCCTCATCTGGAACTATAAAAGGAGGAGTAGCTCAAGACACATGGCAGGCATACTGACATCATTACCAGGTCACTCGTCACAAGCCTCATCCAAAAAAATTACCAAAGCAAAGGAAGACTGCTTCTGTCCTCTGACTCCAGCTGAAGTGCAGTTTCTCCTGCTCATGACCACCAACCACTACAAACTGCCACTGAAAACAACTGCCACCGGGACCTGAATTTGACAGCTTACACAGCTCTGCACCTGGGCTTCGGTTGTAGAACTTCCTATCTGGTCCTCTACAGAGACCCTTCCTACAAAGACTTTCCTTACATCTATATCAGCTCTCTGCCTATGCCTCCAGCATCCCTCTGAACTCTGCAGCTCCTTCAACCCTTTCTTAGCATTACCTACGTATTGTTATTGTGTGAACTGTAATGTGCTATCTGAGAGTTAATACTAGTAATTAAGATTAAAATTTAAAAAAAAAACCTGCTGCCAATGGCTTAGGCTATCAAGTAACATCAGTAATACTCGGCAAATTAACACCAATAAAATTGACATAGCTCGTAAATGTGTTGTTAGTCAATTAATTCTGACATTGTAAAAAGGCACAAGCATGTCCATCAGTGTTTCTGACGTAGCTCACTCATGGCAATTGAACTAAAATTGAAGAGGAAATGCATTCTAGACAGGGAGGATGCTTAGTGCAAAGGCCCGCCATATGGAAGAGGCTGGCAAATGTGGACAAAAAGTAGTGCTGGAGCTAATGGGAAAAAAGGAACTGGCACAAAGGACTCGTCTGCTGGGCTGAAGAGGGCTCAAGGGCATCTCAAAAGGTCTACATTTGAAAGCAGGGAGTGACATGCCCAGGCATGTCTAAGCAGGGAGGTCAGGAGGTACCAAGTGACCTGGATAAGAAGGAGCAAGTCCCGCGTGAGGCAGCAGCATGACACAAAAGAAGAGGGAACAGAACTGAGAGATTCAGAAGCCAGAATCAGCAGGACTGTGTGTCTGGGGTTCCCCTGAACCTAAGACATGAAACTCAGAGGAGCGAGCTGGGAGGGGACAGCCTCATTGATCTTCATTTGGACTGGATAAACTGCTTAGATCTATGGCTGCCTATTCCATGAAGCAGGTAGAGAAGGAGAAGGCTGCTGGAGGCCCAGCAGAAAATGGCAGCCTGGGAGCCAAAGCCAGAGGGGCTTTCAGAAAGGAACCAGCCAAGCCAAACCCTACAGAGGATTCAAGCAGGCTGTGGAGGAGGGGCTGCTACACCTGACATCCAGAAGACCACAGGACGCTGGCAACAGCATCCAGTAAACTAGCACCCCACCCACAAGGAGATGCCTTGCCCCATTCCCTGCTGCCTGAAGGCCTGATGTCTTCGTTCTCATCATTCAGACAATGGTCCCCTGTGTTCCTCCCTCTTTCCCACCTACCAGAAAAAGAGTCCTTGTCCATCGCAGGCAGGTCCCGGGCTTGGTACATGTAGCAGCGCAAATGGTAGCGATTCCCATCTTCACAAAGGAAGACACAAAGATGCCAGGGTGAGTAGCTAAGGGTGGCTAGCAGCCTGAGCTATGGCAGAAGGAAGGGTCTGCCTCTATTAAGAGCAGCAAATGACACATTTCCTGTGGGAATGAGCCTCTCAAGGTCAGAAGGATAGGGTAGAGCTCAAAAGCAGACACTTGAGTGCTATTTCCCTGGGCCAGGCTAGAGGTGGGGGAGAGGGGCAGAGAAGGAGGGGGAGGAATAAAGGCGAAATCCGTGATAAGGATAGCCACAATGCTCAGGACCCTGAATGCCCAATCTCAAACACACTACATACACAGACACGCATGTACACATACACACGCACATGCATGCCAAAAGACACAGACCCACCAAAAAGCACATACTCAGTTCTCTAGTCCCAACACACACACCTGATCACATAACTCCATTTAAACAGAAGTAAGGTTACATGCCCCTTAGATATCTTTGAGCATCACTTACAGTCAAAGATGCAGGAAATTGTAGGTCTGTTCACACCAAAGCTCAGAGTGGAGACAGACATGGAATCTTCACTCCTGTCATCCATCACGCCGCCCTGGAGACACAAATCCAGTCATGTCAGATTCTGACTCCAGAGCCTGAGATTGGTGGGGAGACTGCTCTACAGATTTAGGTTCCCAGGGCCAGAAGACCCCTAGACAATACTCTTCAGCTGCTGAAAGTAGGGCTGTTGGCCTCTGATTTCACTCCAGAAGGGGGACTCATCCTGTCTTACAGCATCATTAGACACCAAGGAACTGTGGGAAATTCTTCTGCCCCTATAGAGAAGACCAGGTAGCTAGAATGGAATTCAGAGCTATTCCAGCCAAAGAGATTAGAGTTTGATAGAAGAAAGGACTCCAAGGGGCTCTCCGGGGGAGAATCAAATACAGACTTTACCTCTAAGGCTCAGTCCTATGCAGCCAAAGTCTAGAAGTCCCTGGCTATCATCTCTGGTCCCCAACCACTGTCCAGCCTCTGTGTACTTAGAGACAGTGCCAATGCCAGGGAAGTACAGGCACTGAGTCAGATTTCAAGCTCCAGGAAAGGCTGCCCAGCATATCATCCATCTCTCACCAGCTCCTACTATGCTGAGGGCCAGAGGGACACGGGCTGAGGCCGGGCTAGGGAAAGTCCAGGGCCAAGGACAGGGACTGGAGCAAGAGGCAGGGTGGGGCTATGGCCCAGCTCAGAAACATGTCAGCTTATTGTGTACAAAGCCAGATGGTCAGCCTGTCACCTTATGCTCATTAGCACTAGGTTCTAACACTGAGCCACAAGCCACTTTGAGGGGACACTGAGACCATAACACTGCCCAGGTGTCCCTTCCCTGAAGCGCCCTCTTGGGCCCACCCAATTCCCATGGCCAGGAGCCTGAGCAGCACCTGCAGAGAGACCGGGGAGAGCAGGCACAATTTCCCAGACCCCCTGTGCTGCCTGCTCCCTCTGCAGTCCCCGGCATCTCTCTAATCCTTCTCTCCTCTCTCTCTGCCCTCAGTTGTCACCTGTTTCATCTCAGAGACAGCAGAGTGAAGTGACAAGGTAGCTTCTGCTGTTTGCTTGCCTAGTAGCTTCCATCCCACAGATGCACACATACCCCCTACAAAAGCCCTGGCCTCCTCCTGTAATGGCTTGTTCCTCCCATCCAGGTCCACCCAGCTGACAAATCCCCAGGACCTGCTTCCTGGTGGCGCTGACCTTCATTCTAGCTGGAGTCATTTCCCAGAATCTCCTGAGACCATGGAGCTGCAAAGTCCCCCACCCCACCTGTGCCTCTGAGTAAAAGACATTACCACCACTTTTGCACCCTCCTCTCTAAACTGTTCACCCTCAGGCCTAGAAGCCATCTGGATACATGTCCTCCCACCCCCAAACCACACCAGCTTGGTGACCCATTGGCTCCAGGCCTGAATCTTTCAGTGATTGTTACTCCTGAAGGGTCAGGATCCTTCTGCTCAGACACCACTGGCCTGTCTCATCTCCTCATTCAACACCAAGGCTACCCCTAACCCCAGCCCTCAGTTTCAGGCAGACCTCGCTCCCATCGCATGCTGTGCCTTAGTCAGTGTGCCCTCCCCATGGCAGGCCATCCTGGACACTGAGGTAAAGCTGGCCTGGTCCATCTGGGGCAATAAAGAGTTGTATCTGAAAAGCAGATGGGGTCTTCCTCCACCACCCCTGCAAAGGGCCTGCTCAGCACACAAGTAGGAGAGGCTTGGTCCTCTGCTCCCCAAGAGGACTGGCTGAGGTCCTGCTATAACCTCACACCACAGGACATCCTCCTTCCTATAAGGAGAACACAATGAACACACACACATACACACACACACACACACTTCCTTTGGCCACAGTTTCAATACAGATCTAAAACCAGATCACTTGGACTCCAATTCTGGCACTGTCAAAAACTGTCTGTGTGACTTTGGGCAAGTTGTTTAACTTCTCTGAATCAGTCTCTTTGTAATTTTTAAATAATTGTACAGTACCTATCTCAGAAAGTTGCTGTGGTTGTTAAAGAAGATAGAGAATATGTCATTCTTAGTACATCCTCAATAAATGTGAGATATTAATCATTTTAAGAAAAATAAGGTATAGGTTTATAATTGTGCTGTGGGTGGAATAGATCTCATGTTTGTTCAAGATTATTCCAGGAAACTAAAAAAGTGGACATTCAGTAAAGAGCTAAAAAAAAAATTAAACAATCAAGAACCTCAGGGCAGTGGTATCATGTTCTCTCTCTCTCATCTCTCAATCTCTCTCTCTCTCTCTTTCTCTCTCTCTCTCTCTCTCTCTCTCTCTCTCTCTCTCTCTCTCACACACACACACACACACACACACACGAGAGCAGGACAAGAGGGAAATGTGTCACATGATAGGGAAAGACTCAATCCAAGGCTACATGCCTGAAATCCTCCCTCCCGGACAGGTATGGACCCTAGGCGTCCTGAGTTCCTACTTGGAGAGGCACTGACCTGCCTCATTGGCATCCCCTAGGCTGAGCACCAAGACCAGCAGCTGACAGCCACAGAGCACCTCTCCAGCTACAGACTCTGAGAGGCCAAAACGGAGGGAGAGGGGGTCACAGAAGACCATCTATGCATGAGACACAGGGACACCAAGGAAAGGACATCAGGCCAGGATCAGGACACTGCAAATCGGGCTTGACTGGCACCTAGGTACAACAACGCATCACTGGTGCATGTCTGTGGGTGGGGAGTAGGAAGCAGGTTCAGCTGGGGACAGGGTGGAAGAAGGTGAGAGACTCTTTCCCTTCTCCTCAGCTCGGGTGCCCTGAAGGCAGACGGAGCTGGGGAGAAAACAGGGTCGGACACCAACCGGCTCCACAGGCCCCATGATTTATCTCTCCTGAGAGGGCACCTACAGCTGCAGTGCACATATCCCCACTCACCTCACACCTCCTCCAGATGGCCTCCTTCCTGCCTCCCATCAGCACCACTCCCACCGCAAGGCTTCCACCTAGGGTTCTGGCAGGACTTTCTGGATCCCTGTCCAAGGCAGGGCCTCCTGCTGCGATCAAAAGAGGTAGCCCTCTCCCTGGGATTTCCTCAGGGCTGAGGACAGAGATCCCAGACCCAGCTCAAGGCCTGGCCCAAAGCAGCCCCAGGCCCTAAAAATGACCGTCCTTCAAGGGAGCAGCCAGTATTCCCTCTGGAAGCAACCCCCACTGCCTGGCACCCCCACTTGTCCTGCTTCTACAAGAGGGGATCAGCAACTCCATATGACCCACAGGGCCCTACACCATCCCACACACACACACCACCATCTGCACACATGTGTGGCCCTACCAACCTGCCTCCTTGCCCTCTCCTTCTGGCTCAAGGACAGAGGTGGGGACTATTGGGAAGAACTCTGGGGAAGCAGGGCAGACAGACACCGAGGGTCAAGTGGAGGGACAGCCATTCGCTGAGTCCCTCTCAGTAAAGTCCCAGCCCCAGATCTCCCTGGTTCACACTGGCCAGAATTTCACCTGTTCAGCTAGCCAACATCTTAACCTCCTCTGGCCACTGACCCTTAGGGTCAGGAGGATATCTGGGGAAACTTAATACAGTCTGGGGAAACTGGACACAGCCTGGGGTAACTCCATACATCCTCATCATCCTCATTAGAGTCTAGAAGCAGAGGAGAGGCTGTATTCTCCTTGTCACCCTCCCCCAAGCCCTCCTCAGCATCTGAATCAAAGCTGTGACTGTCAGGGTGCTCCCAAATACCCACACCTGCCACACTCAAACAGTGGGAACACTCTAGAGCCTCTTTCTTGCCCCTAGGTCTCATGCATGTGGCTCTCTGTGCCCCAGGCTTTCCCCAACTTCTATCTCGGATAGATGTCCAGCCTCATCCCCAGGTCGCTCTGCAAGGATAAGTCAGGCAGTCCTGCTGTGGCTTCCCCCGTTACTTCCCTAACCACCTCACACAGTGAAAACCATCCTTCAAGAGAACAGCCAGTGTTCTGCTATCTGTCTCCTCTCACTGACAGCTCTATGAGCCCAGAAGTCAGATTCTCACTGAACACCTCCCCAGAGAGGCCTTCCCTGACCATTCTGTGGAAAATCAGGCTCTGTCACACACATTCTCACACATGCCCTCACGGGCCCCACCTGACACACTCCACAATAGCACTCTCAACTCTTATAGGGCTTTACTTTTCCTTGAAGCACAAACGGTTAACAAATTAACCATTTTGTTGATACCTGCCTGGCCCACAGAGCTTGAACTCCTTAAGGGCACTTTGGTGTCCGGGTACCTAGAAAATACCAAATCCATGAATCAAATCCAAGATGAGCCCTCCCCTTCTCCCAAAAGTGCCCTTTTTCTCACAAAGTTGCCTTTTCCTGGAGGGAAGAATTTGGGGCTAAAGGAACTTTCTTAAGGGCTGAGCCCAGCCTGAAGGAAGGATCCCCAGAGAGACAGATCAGAGGTGAGAAGAGAGTGTAAATGGAGACAGAACAATACAGGTAAGAGCTGGCTACCTACAACCTTCATCATTATAGCTACTTGGTACTTGAACCCAGACACTATCCCAAGAGCTGAACCCTATAATCTTCTAGATAGAGACTATGAGTGCCTTTGTTCTAGAGACAGAGACAAAGTAACCTAACAGCTGCATTACAGGTACAGAATAAATTTGCAATGAGCAGAAGCATTTCATGTGTGCAGAGTTGAAAAGTTAGGTGACTAATTCATTCCACAGACCCTAAAGCTCTCCCATGGAGGATGCCCAAGCTGCACGCAGTTCCCAGAAGAGGAAGAGGTGAGGACCTCATCTAGGGTCCTCAGAGCAGGTGGGGAGAGGGCAGGTGGCATGGGAAGGAGGGTCCAAGCTGCAGAAGAGCAGGTTTCCGAGATTCATTTTCCTCATGGTGAAGTGGCAACCATGGTAACACACACCACATGGGACTATTATGGAAAACACAGGGAGTTTAGCCTCAGCTCTGTGGGCATTTGGGGCTGGAATACTCTGTTGTGGGGGCTGTCCCATGCATTATGATGTTTGGCAGCATCTCTGTCCTCCACCCAGTAGATATCAGTAGCATCTCC